ACATAATGCTTACGTTACGTATCCTCACTGAAATGGTTCACGAATTCGAAATAGGCTCATAATTGCTCCAATGTGGACCGTCCTCTTTGAAATGGTTCGTGAGTCAGAGTAGATCTAGTTCGCACACTCACAGATTTGTTTCTTAAATCTCGAAGCTGATCCCTATAGGCTTAGCTAGTACGAGGGTTGAGATTCTCAAGGACGATGTGAGGTAGGCTTAGGCTTGACCTGAAGATAGTTCACGGGGCTAATCATAGGCCAAATGCCGGCGATTCCTGTACTGATGAGATGGGGATAGGTTGGGGTGGGGGTAAGTCTTCGAGGAATAGTTTGCGCAAAACTTCATCTAGGCCTATCGTGCGGACGCAAGTCTCTTCTCCACGGTAGTCGGGCACCTGCTATAGTAGTGTAATGAGTGTTACTGCATTCGAATTGGTGTCAGGCATTTCTCATTCATGCATGCTACGTCTTAGTGCTACGTTCATGACAGAGACAATCGTGCATGGACATCCCGACCGTCGCAGTCTGTCCACCGACATCTGTGTCAGGTTCATCGAGAAACTTCTTATAGGCCTATCACAAGCCGAATTTTACGGCCTCACTGAAACGGTTCGTGAAACTTGAAGAGGGTTTATGATCGATTAACATTGCACATCCCCTCAGAGGTGCGCCAGACTTATTTATGAGGTAGGCTTATTTCCCTGTGCGTTCCCAAACGAAAAGTCTGAAAAATGTCCAAAGTGGAATCCTCACGGGTTCAGCGAACCTCATCCTTTAAGCCAGAGTTTTCCAAAGACAGAGCTATCTGCTGTATCGTACGATAGATCGAGGCCGTGCAATAGTATTCCATTAAATGGAGTATTTCATTAGGCGATATTGCATGGGATGAGTCGACGGGATAGCCACAAATTCGGAGAAGCAAGTTTAAGAGCTATAGTTGCCAATAACTTGTCGATGTAGAACTTTTGTTGCTCCCCAGGTAAGTTCGTTTTGTCCAAAGTGCATTTCAGTGATTTTGCAACAATTTCAAAGGAGAGTGGACAGTGGCAGGATACACCGTCACTTTTTAAAATCTGACAATTGAAATGTCCACCAATATGGGAATGATGTCCAAGTAGAATTTGTTCAGAATGGAGACGATGAAGTGAATTTTTCTAAATGTCTACAAGCGTGGACTCGATGCGAAAAAGGGTGAAAGCTGAGAAAACGCCACCCGTTTCTTGATGATATCCACAAATATATGAATTAACGATACCAGGCCGATGAAGTCACTGGCCTTGAAATATAAAAAAATATGCAGGGGCAATCTTGTCGCTAAAGCGAGGGCATGTCAAAATTTAAATTCATTTCCTCCAGTAGTTCGCTCTTAAGCAATAGATGGTTAAAGGACATAGGAGTAACTAAGAGTCATTTGCAGCGACAGTTATTGAGGCTATTTTCTGAGAAAAATAGTTTCGTTACCATTGTGAACAAAAACTTCAAAAGCGAAAGACTCGAATGTAAGAAGGGATCGGGCGTAGTGCAGAAGGGGCCCAAAGAGTGTGACCCCGTCAAGTCGTTTGTAGGGGCGGAAGATTCAGGCGTGGATTCTTTGCAAGCAATCGTATTTATGAAGATTGGGAACCGTTTTTGGGTATGTACATGCAGAAAATCAGCCAAATAGCCTATCAGGTGATCTAGTGTATGACATGGCAACGAGAAAGAAAGGGAAGGGAAAAGTGAGGCATGCATATTTTTCTTTGTGGCCTTAAATGTCACTGGTGAAGTGTTTTTCCATGTTTCGTCGCTCGGCGTGAGAAGAGTGAGAAAATGCGCGACGAGGACCAATCCACTTAGCCGACCGGGACCAAGATAACATATCTGACAGCAAACACTTATCGGAATGGAGTAAATACAGATGATTTAAGGAAAGAGATATAGATTTTTTCTGTGGAAATCCATTGGTCATAGTGGTCTTAGTGCTGTGCTACTGACTAGAACGCAATTGTCGGTAAGCTTTGGGGCACGCAGCATTTTCGGATAGCAATAATATATGAGTGAAGTGACGGGGGATGGGGGTGGGGGGTTTGAAATGGAACCGAAATCCTCACACATTCACCTTTTTGTGGCAACATTTGCTGTAGCAAGATTAGGCTGCAATGATTCAGGAATCTTCCCTGACGTTAGGTGATGAAAATGACGACTAACAACTTTTTTAATGGGATTTTTACCTTGCATATTACCTTATTATGACGTTACTAGTGATTAATAACTTTTTGAAACGGAATAACCAGACTGCGAGTTCCACTGATTCATCGGCATCTGCTTTCCTTATCTTTTAAAGGTATGTTATGAGCGTGTCCCGTTTTCTTTTCACAGGTACATCAAACAGATGGAATTCCAGCGACTTACAATCTGCGGGATTGATTCTTCTCTTCAAAACAGTGAGTCCTGCGGAGCCTGATTTCACAATTGATCCCAGTGAAGCCGCCTCAAGCCGTCAACGTCAATCTATGATCTTATTATGTCATCCCTTTGACGTAGAAAAGCGAGATTCATGCACCGGCCACTTCGAGATGAAAATAAAATGGCAGAGGAAGCCCGTGTCCGAGAGCACTTTCTTGTGCCTCATTCATATTCTTGAATTCAGCTCATCCCTTTTCCTCCACGTACTGGTGTCATGTTCGATGATCCATGCTCGGAGCCCATGCCCTGTTTAAGAAAGCAGTCTTAGAGCTAAAGGTGTTACAAAATGTGTGATACGGGTGACGCTTTCCAGTCGAATCGAAGACGGGAGAGCGATATTCCATTCTTAGATATCGAATTGTTTACACTGAAAAGTCGAAAGTTCCAACCCTAGACATTTCATTCAACAACATTCACTAATTTTGCCTTCTAAGGAGCGATTCATATGCAGAACGAGCTTCTCATCTCACTGTGATGAGATGAATCTGAAGTGAAACTGGCGCACAATTACAGGAAAGGTGTGAAGATGTTCTCACATTCCAAGGCGGACCCGGTCCAGCCATAGCAACCTCCTCGGTTGGTTTGATCTGTCCCCAAGGAACCATGAGCTCAGAAGTTCTCAAAATTTTCAAAATTGCGATGCATCTGGAGTAGCTACATACCTACAGAAGCTACATACATGGTATATATTTGTAGGGCTTTTGCACTTTTCCCTCTCTGTCTAACTTATATTTGGTCACTTACTTCCCTGGCATGCATTGGATGAGGTAGTAGTGCTTCAACTATAGTTTGGCAGCTTCCTAATTGCAAACGCATTTTCGTAAAGGAACATTGTATTCATCCTGGCAATTTGTCCGTGTATTTCTGTTTCTACCTGAACTATAATACTCCTGTATCAAAACACCAGAAATACTCTTTAGAATGACTCGAAACTTTCCAACAAAGCTAAAATCGGAAATAATAATAAATTTGGTGACATTTGATCGACCATAATAAAATCATAAAAAGTTCTTTCTCCGCAAAATTCTTAGCTTATTTGACAATCCAAAAAGGGTCCAAGGTGCCCCATCAAGGACAATGTCAGGAAATTATATTTCTTTGATTATTGCAAAGGTTCCAAGCACATCACATGTACAACATGGATGAGTCACCTACCTCCACATTTCCTGGCGTTCCAAAGGCTATTTTCACTAGTGGACCCACTAAGTTGCACGGTCGTTTTGGATTGTTTATATTGGATAAATACTTCCCCCGATTGGTATCCCAGGAAAAAGCTTACATGATGCGTGCTTCGCAATGCCCTTGGAATATCTTCGGGGCTGTCCCATCCATCTGGATGGATGGCCTGGAAACATCTGTAAATGTGAGGAAGCATTTCCAGAAGTTCGCGTGTAGTAGCAGAAAATCTCGAGTTTTTTTATTTTGGACAATCATGGCAGCCATTAAGGAATTTCAAACCTGGTCATTTCCTAGGATAGAAAAATCTTGTATCTTGCCTTTCCCCCTCTCTGCTCGCAAAAGGTGACGCTTTTGGACAATACAGTTTTTCAACCTTACAAAGCGTTCAAGAAAGCCCTTGAATGACGTGAAATCCAAACAGAGAGTTACAATTTAGGAAGTCACTGGTTTTATTAGACAACGTTTCAATGCATGTGAACGACCCGAAACTCCGTAAAACTTGACAAATGGATTCAAGTTCACTTTAATATAGCCGTTAGATATGGCCATTTCATATAAATTTATAATGAAGTTCAGTGATCAGAAAACAGCATTTCTTAGCCCTTCTGGCAACGGGCATTGATGTTCGAGAGAGTAACATGATAATGCCACATTATACGAGGTTTCTTAGAAATTAAAATTTGAAACGTTTGAAACGGCCTCCGGGGTGGGACGCCATGAACCGTTTCAATGTTACGTTTTACATTTTTGACACATGGATTCAGACTGCATTTTGAAGTACTATTAAGGAAGTAAGTTTAAATATCAAGAAATTGTCTAATGTGTTGAAATTTGTAATAAAAAAGGCTTTTCATTGCTAAGAAAAAAAATATGGTTCACGGTGCCCCACCCTCGTCTAGTAGATCTCAACCTCCCCGTTTACTCCCATGGAACATCCTTGTGTTCGGTGGGCCGCGGCTCACCGATTGAGATCCACTGCAAGAGCTGAATGGTATGATTGACAAATTCCATTAACCTTGAAAAATCACGTAATTCATTGGGTGATGTTTCTGCACACTTTCTCATGAGATTTGATCATGTTTTGCGATAATTTAACTCTGAAATTAAGTGCTTTAATATGTTGCAGGACAAATTGTAAGCAGAGCCTGGAGGAGCCACAAGAATTGACTGCCGAGAAGAAATATGTTGTTGAAATGATCGAAGAATACTTCCGCAACATGAAGTGCTGCATGGCCTCATGAGAGGAAAAAGCAGCCTGTATATATTCTCAGTGGCAGTGCTCAGATTACGGGAAGAAGGCGGCTGTAATCACCGCGAAAAATTTTTCAGAGCTTCTTGAAATCACTAAAAAGGCCTTTGATTCTATGAGAGATGAAATGGGAAGGACCATCGAAAAGTGCGTACCTGATGCTCCCCAAATTTTGAACGACATGATGCTCCGAAATAGTCATCTGGAAGTAAATAGTTACACCTTCTCCAATGATCCCACTTCAGAAGAAGAGATGAAGAGAAAGAGAATGATGCTTATGGACTGGGATTCGGAGAAGCAGACTGTGTCAGAAAGTCAAGAGGGAATGGAGAGCGAAAAGTCTTTTGTAGAAAGGGAAGTAGAACATGGAAAAACTCAAACAGAAAATATTATAATGAAGGTAGAACCGATAGAGATGGAAGCCGAGGATTCTTTCCCTTTGAGTCCCACTAAGTTCATTCCGAACCTCTTGAAGATTCTCCCAAGTGCCAACGATGCGCCGACCCAGATAATCCTCTGTGCCCCTGAAGCCAAGGAACGCGATGCAGGTGGAGACTCCATGAGCATCACGGAAGACGAGGATTATGACTGGAGGATTATGGAGGATTATGACCAAGCAGGCTTGGAAATCGTTGCCGAGCACATCTCTCACGATTCAGAAGATACTGAGGACGGCGACTCGGATTCCACTCAGAAAATTAAATTTTGCTGTGATGTAATCGTCGAAAACTCAGACGAAGAGCTGAACGAGGAAGGAACAGTCCAAGAACCACATGAAACGGAAAATGTGGGATCACCGGACCTCTTGGACCAGTATCTCAGAGCATCCAGTGATGAGAAACTGGGAACATTGGGTGCTAAGAAGGAATTGATGTTTCAGGGGCATGAAAGTGAAAACGACTTTTGGGAAGGGGATTCCACTTCTACGTTTTCCTCCTCTGACGAAGACACTGACTCTGACAGATCCTCCCAGAAAGTGAAGCTCAAAACGATGAAAAGGATATCAATGGAGTCCCAAGAGAAGCAGAAGCGGCCTCCGCATTTGAATGTCGGACACGAGCAGCGTCATCGTCGAGTTCTCCTGAATGACTCTCTCCTCGCATCAGACCACACTGCTTATGATGGGAAAAAGTACAAACGATTAGCTCTGAAGCAGACAATGAAAATGTAAGCCTTTAGAATTGAATATGAAGCATAATCGGTCGTCATGACTAGATGTTGGCTGGGAAAACAGGAACTACTTTGTCATGGCATGAGGCATTTAGGCATGTTACTTTGACTGCACGTTATGCCGTGCATTGTTGGATTAATGCTAATCCAGCTTTCGTTCCTAGCTTTTTGATACCTCAGACGAAGTTTGCTTGCAGTTATCTGTGTAATAAAGAATGATGTAATAATAACATACCTTTATATAGTGACAGTCACAGGCTGCCTGCAGGATTTCCATATTTTTTATCCATATTTTGCCTGCCCTCATCTGCTAAATCAAATTGGTTTCTGTAAGACGAGCCTCTCAGAAAATAGTACGCTAGAAGGCGAATATTATCTACCATAGGAATTAGAAAGACGCCACGAGTCTCGATTACATGATCGGCTCGATCATAGCTACTTTCTCTCATACGAATTTTCCTGGAAGCTGCCGGAGGATGGGGTGTAGTGCAGTTGGAGGCTCCGAACTGCTCTGGGATCAAAACTTCCGCATGAAATTGTCTCACCTCTTTCTCAATGACTAGCAAATCGAAATTCCATCGCAGAATGTTTTCCTTATGTAGTCGACCTCGTCCATGTCCATTACGTTTAAATTTCTGACACTCGTTTTTTTTCGCTTTTCCTCTACTTTTCTCAAATGCAGTGTAGCAAAGCAATTACTCTACCAACATTATAGTATCAATTTGAAGGTGAGTATGATATAGAGCGATTATATGAAACTCGGTTAGCAATGCTGAATATGCTATTTTGATAAAGAAAAAGTTGGTCCTTCAATAACACAGGCTTCCAAAGGCAGTCGAAAATGATACATCGGGCGAAGAAGACGAGGAAGATATGGACGACCTCCTGGGAAGGCAGAAAATGAGAGGTCAAAGAGTCAGCAAGAAAAGAGCAGATAATGACGGAGATCGACGGAAATGTAATCTGGAAAAAGTTGACGATGGCAGCAGCGATGTCAAAAGAAAGGATGAAATATGCATGTCACTGGGGCCGCACGTGTACAAGGAGCAGCTCTCACTGGTCGAGGTGAACCGAAAGATTCTGGAAAGTATCCTAGGGAGCTATGACAGCCAGGGGACCGCTGTATCATTCAATGCATCCAATGGTGCGGTTTCCTTATTTTCTTTCGCCAGTTCTCTTGTTGCAGCTTGCAGCTTGCTAGGGATTACGTGATATAGACTATTTAGAAACAGATAACCTGAAGATTCCTCACGATGAAGGAGTGACTGATTTTGGGACAGGTATATTGTTAAAATGAAAATTTTTGTAGGAAGCATAGAAACCTTGGCACCTTCTTTAGTAGACTGGAATCATCAACGATTTCGAACCTCATAGGAAAGATTCCAGTCGGATTTCATGTAATATTTGTTCATGTCATAAAATTGCTTTAACGTTAAGTTGAATTTTGGCTTTCAACTTCTTTCGAGCAGCAGCGACGGTGTGTACTGCTCTTTTTATACGAGCCAGTTCTCATCCCATCCCCTTCCACGCTTCTTTCAGATTCAGGCACTGAGTCTGAAGAAAATGATCAAAATGAAGGAAAGGTGCAAAAGAAGAAAAAGAATGATGAGAAAACCGGAATGAATATAGAAATGGAAGTGGGAATCGAAGAAGAGTCCTTCGAAAAGGATAATGACGATGGGGAGGAGTTGATGGACATGGTCCAGATGAAATTGAAACCCAAAAAAGAGAAATCAGCTGCCATAAGGGAAGCTTTAAAATTGCTGAAGATGAAGTTCAGTGACACGGACACGAGTGAGGAAGAGGAGAAATCCCGGAAATTAGAGAAAACCCGAAAGAAGGAAAGGCAGGATCATGATGGTGACATCCTTAGTCGTGGAAAGTATGCACTTTAGGCTCTTCCTGGTACTTTTGGGAACGAAACATTGACTGGTCTATTGACTGGTTGAAATCCAATGTTTTTTTCTTGTTATGTTTCATGTTATTATGTTTTCGAAGATATGTCCCTCTATGTAGTCTATTATTATTATTGAAAACCTTGGAAACTGTTCAAGGAGGGGTGTGGCATCATGTACAGAAAACTTCACGTTCGCCCCTCTCCTAAATTAAAATATTTTGACTTATTGGTATTGATGTGAGAAGTACCTGTCGTGAAGTAACAATATGAACCTTCATTTCTATATGTGCAATTTACACTGTTTGAAAATGCCCTGGGGGAAGAAAGAGATAGTACATGAGAAATTCCGTCCAAAAATTCAAAGTCATTCTGCTGGCTCTGTCTTTGTACACCAGATATTGCTTCATGCTTAGAGAATCAAAGATAATGAATATACCTGCCGCTTATCGCTGTCGAACCTGTAATCCAATGAGAGTGTTCCAAGAAGAGAAGTCAACTGGATCCAACTTCATCCAAAATATAAGAAGGCTCACTGTATGCTGGTGACTATGCATCATTAGCTTTCGCCTGTTTTTGGGTCATCTGCTTCTCAAGAGTCAGTCTTCAATATATGTTCTGCTTTGATTTATCCCCAGTCTCAGAGAGAATTTGAGCATATCAGCGAAATGACTCCCTACCCAAAAAATCTGGAATTGCACAAATTGAATGTAATTAATTTAACAGAATTATCCTTTTCCGTTTCAAATTGATCCGAAGATGGTAGGATTCCGACTAATGCATAGAAGCAAAGTCATGCAATGCTTTTGGTTTGCTTTTGAAATATGTCAGGAAATGCGTTGTAATGGTCATTCCTCGATTAATACGTTTCGCCATACAACATTAAACAACAGGTGATGGAAGGAGAAATCTTGTCCGTGGGGTTGGCTGGAGACGTTGTTCTTCAGGAAGGTGCGAGGGATTCTACATTAATTGGGGTTGGATGGTCTTTCCAAGAAATTCCGGGATTTTGACTTTCATAAAATTTGGAGGAATTTTTTCTCATTGGGACTAATACCACGGAAGAGATCCGGAGATCGAGAGCCGCAATTTGAGATAGGTATCACTTGCGTTGCTACTTACCTTTTTTCTGAAATTTCTCATTTTGCCATATTTGACGAAGTTCATTAAGCCCAACATACTGTTTATCGCTCTCTCTTAAGACTGAGTGCTGGGTGAGGAAAGGTGAAAGTGAGGAAAGGCGAGTCCTCTGAAAAAGAGAATGTCATTGTCCAGATCATATTAAACCTCCGTTATACGTTTACGAACTTCTTTCATTTAAAGTATTTTGCCTCTTGTTGAAGTTTTGTGGTTTAAACAAATAATGCATCATGGAGTTGGGGACAGCCAATGATTGGCAGATACTTGATTGGCAGACAGATGGCAACATCTACTAGGAAGATGAATATTTCAGTCATTTCTCTTTTTTATAAAATAATTTTCACTCTCCCAATCTAGACCCTAGGACGACATTTGGAAAAAATTATATTACTTTGACTCTTAAAATGATAATTCTTTTGCGATGCTGGACATTTTCTGAGGTGGAAGAAAATAAACTGGTGGACAAAATTAGGGTAACACTGTTTTTCGTTAATATTTTAATTACAATAGTAATAAAAAATATGAAAATAAATTACTATACATACTTTAACATGGAAATTCCGAATATCAAAATCGAAATTGATATATGTGCGTAGCAACATAGAAATTAGTGAAGCCTATTAAAGGATGGTGACAATTGTCTTCTAAGCATGTATGTAGGAACATGCAATTTTTCGTTTCTTGATGTAAATATCATGACTGTCATTACCAGTCCAATGTTCCTTTTTTGATACACTTATCGGTAATGATAAATGATAGGTCTATACAAATTTTCATTGATATAACTCATAGAATAAAGATGTTATTCTGGTTTTTATGATTGTTACCTTAATTTTTTCCACCAATGTAGTTACTGATATATTCAGTCCCATTATCTCAATGATGCCTGCATGTTGGACCAAAAAGTAGTACTGAAGCCTCTCCTGAGCTTCCCAAAGAGCCCATATCAGTCACACTTGTCATACAGAATCTTCAGAATCCTATAGTTTTTAACTCAGAACCTGTTTTTGCTGCTGATTGAGCTCCAGTAATTCCGTATCGCAACGCTTTTTCTCGAAATGTGAAAACTACGAAATCATGGAAAACATAGCCGTGAAACTTCAACGGGAAAGGAGTTCTTGCATGCACAGATAAGACAATCAAGAACTGAAACTTTGCATTTATGTTTTGCTTTATCGTCGCAACCTAACCGTCGTGCCTCCTCTTTATCATAGGAGCGTCAATGAATTCTCTGTCCTTGTGGCTCAGATACATAACATCGTAATATGGAAGTACCCTAACCGTCAAGTCTAATAAATTCAAAATCGTTGCCTTTCATCCTTAGATGATCTATTTTGCCACGGCAAAACAAGAAATAATGAATGTTGCACTGTTATAGCATGAGTTCACTGCCATGGTCCGTTATGCCAAGCGCCCATTTGCCATGCCATTCCGTGTTTCACTGCATTTGATACGACCTAACATTCCCTCTAACTGGTGGTTAGGATAATATATAGTTTTACAGAGCCAATCTGAGATTACTGCATTTTTTGGGACGTAGGAAAAGGCAGTACCAGATCCAAGACTTGGGTGGAACAGATTTCGAGAATGATGAGGCATCTAAACAAAGAGCAAAAAGGAAGAAGGAAGATGAAAGTCATCCCTCCAGCTGCTACTTTGCCACCCCCTCTCAAGTCAGTTTCATTTCTGACTCATCTATAAGAGAAATTAAGTATATGAACTCGTCACGAAATTAGTGAAGGGAGTGCGCCTTCCTTCTAAGTTGTCAGATGTGTTGCCTCTAAGTTACACATTCCATGTCTGCAATGAATATTATTCCACGTAGATGGCAGATTCGGACGAAGATGGCGACAATGTGGAAGTCACACGTCAGAACAATGACTCCCAGGAAAACAGACATAGAAGAAATATTTCCAAGATCCTCGAGGAATCCCATTTAAAAATGTCAACCCAGGAAGCGATCTTGGAGGAGAGGCACCATCGTACGAGAATATCAGAAAAGTGGAAACACGTGAGTAGAACCTTCTGAAATACAGAAAGGAAGAAAAACTTTTCCAGATCCGTATCCACAGAAAAGTCTTAACATTTTCCCAAACCTAATCCGCAATTTAATTCCGTTTCCTAGGGTGGGCATTTGATGTCAACTTTCGTGTTTCATGTGCAGTTCGATGAGGTGATGCCGAAGGAGCAGAAGGAAGTGATGAACCTATCACGAGCGAGCGACGATCTGATCCTTGACTTCGACCAGGAGACGAAGGAGCGAGTACAGGTGCATCCATTGCTTGCGCAGAAGATGAAGCGACACCAGCGTGAAGGGATTCGATTCATGTTTGATGCCTGTATTGAGTCGGTGAGGCGAAAGAACCAGGAGGGTGTCCTTGGCAGTGGATGTATCCTGGGTCATTCCATGGGTCTCGGTAAGACTCTTCAAGTACGAAGGATAATTTTTTCACATCTTCATTTAAACCGTGCTTGTGATCATGAGATTGACCTTAGGCTTTCCTTTCAATGGCTCTCTACACCAGCATTTTGCACTCAAAGTGAGGATAAATGGAGAGCATGAAGGAAAACATTAACGGTTTGAGGTATGGCGTTTCCCATCCATGCCTACATGATTTTTTTTGCTCCTCAAGCCTGATACCTTGCTGTCAGTGACAACCCATGTAGGAGCCCAGTTTTTCACTACTTACACCCCAATCGAACCTTTTCATCCATATACATACATATTATATACGAGGAGTCCGTATGTAAACGCAACATTGGACATATTTTGCCGCCTGTAGGTGGAGGTCGGCTAACGCTACATGGCCCACTGGGTTTTCTATCTGCAAGGAAACATACTATTGATAGATTTCATCCTTCCAGGTATGCAACCTAGTGATCTATGGGGCACGCGCTGAACTCCACAAACAGGGGCAAAAGTGTCCCTATGTTGCGTTTAAATACGAACACATTGTATATGTATGATATATACAGGGTCGTGCAAAAGTTCCCGTACACTTTCAAAATCTAATTCTTTCACTAATCAACGGATTTTTGGCGATTCTGATGTGTTTTTATTTTTTAATTCAACGGACATTTTTGATACGAAATGTTTTCATTATAGTAAATTTGAGTCTTTATTTGAATTTTTTTTCTCTGGAGCTATGACGCCTAAAGAGAATCGAAGCTCTGATCGAAATGTACGGGAACTTTTGCACAACCCTGTATATGTGGAGGATCTTCATGACTTTGCTCCTTGTTGAGAGGTTCTCTTTTTCCAATATGTTGTCAATGATGGTATCGTCTTTCTCATCAGGTAGTGGCGTTCCTCCATACCATTCTCACAAGCAAGGCACTTGGATTTAAGACTGCTCTTGTGCTCTGCCCGTATAACACAGTCCTGAACTGGGACCAGGAATTCAAAATCTGGCTGGAGGGACAAGATCTAAAAAAAATTGACATCTTCAATATGGCCAAGTGAGGATGACAGTAATATTTATCAAAGTAGAGTCTTCTCTGTACCAATATGTATTTGAGATTTGGGTGCAGCGAGAAAAATGTCAAGTTGCGCAAGTATCGTGTGAAACAATGGCATCGAGGCGGCGGAGTCATGATCATTGGGTACAACAGGTTTCGAATCCTTGCCAACCCCAGCAACGAGAAATTGAAGAAAAGGCATCGCAAGCGGTTAAAGGAAGCTTTCATTAACCCCGGTACATCAACTTCGCTGTATTTCCGTCATCCATGCTTCGCAGGATATTTCGTAGACTGATGGTGTGCGTTAATGCAGGTCCGGACCTGGTGGTTTGCGACGAGGGGCATATCCTCAAGAACGAGAAGAGCCTCAATTGTCGAATCCTGAATCAGATTCGGACGCGTCGGCGCATCGTCCTCACTGGGACACCGCTGCAGAACAACTTGAAGGAGTATTATTGCATGATCCAGTTCGTAAAGCCCAATCTCCTGGGAACGATGAAGGAATTCACAAACCGCTTCGTGAACCCGATCGAGAACGGACAGCACAGCGACTCCACTGTGGAAGACGTGAAAGTGATGAAGCGTCGGTCCCATGTTCTTCATGATCTCCTGAAGGACTGTGTCCAAGTAAGTCATCTGGTGTACCTTCCATTCCCTCTTCTCATTTTCTTGCAACCCATGTACTGTATATAATCATTATCAGTTGTTCTACAGAGGAAAGACGATGGGGAGCTTGCGCCGTTCCTGCCTCCTAAGCTGGAATACGTTGTTAGCGTGCGGTTGAGTCCCATTCAGATTGACCTTTACCAACATTACTTGGAGAATTACTGTCGGTTTCGGAAAGGGTTAAGAGGTGGCGGGATATCCCTCTTCTCCGATTTTCAAGCCCTCTCACGCATATGGACCCACCCAAAAACCCTCATCATGCATGGGAATATGATGGAAGTGAAGGCAAGTAATCTAAGAGGAAAATAATAAAAATTTACCCAAAATGTGATAGATCCGAAGTGGAACTACTTCATGAAAAGTAAAACCTTTCACAGGTATCCATTATATTCCGTGAAAACGAAAATGGGGTCACATCAAAGTAACAATTCGTCACAAGTATTGCAACAAATGCAAGACGTTGCCATTTTAAATGTTGATAACACAGACAGATCGGAGCAAGATAAGTTTCCTTTAATAGGAAGCATTTATATATCACCAATATTACCAAATAGTAGTATGTCTCTTTCCGAGACCGAGAAAGAATAATGAACAGATGCCCAAATTACCCAAGTGCACATATTCACCCCATTTAACAAACTATTGTTAAAATATAAGTATACTGTATTAGTTGCAAATGATAACTACAGAGAAGGTTCTGAGGCATGGTACATTTCACGAAGTTGTAATAACGTATGCCGTTATGCGGTTAAATGAGTCAGACAAGAAAATGAACGAACCATCTCAAATTACGCTCCATGGACTTTTGTAAGTTATTCTGATGGAATAAAGAAGGAATTGATCCGAAACCGCTACCGTTCCTACGCACAAAAAAAAACATTTTGCTAGTTTAACTCAGTTGCAGAGGAATTTTTCGAAGCAAGAATACCTGATTTGATTGCAGAGGATGCGGAACCAAGTATTTGATGAAGGTGCCGACCCTTTCCCTGGGCTTCGATCCTCTGCTGCCTCCGATGGACTTGAACCAAATGGTAGAGTTGCTCCTCGTTCCTCACACTCCCCAATTCTTGGTCTTGGTCGTAAGGAAATATAATTTATTTATTCCTGCTCGTTCGCTGTGCGCCTAATTGAGACATGACGCTGAATGAAGTTTACTATCAAGTTCAAAATTCCGCAACCATATATTCAGAGGACATTGGTAACGTAACAAGATACCTTGTATAGCCGTCAAATCACAACTTTTGGCAAAGGGTGTTATTCGAACTGATATAGGATGCACTTCGCAAAGAGATCGAAAATAATTTTCCTGAAAGAGTTCTAAACCACCAAAAATTTACAGAAAATAAGAAATAAAGGCTGGTTGCAGAATGAGGTCATCCCATAAGTAATGTCGTTTTTCTCCCACAGCCTTATTTGTGTCTTCGTTATACATGTATCTGCGAAAATCCCATGGAATATTTCTATGCTAACTTGAGCAGGGGTTAGTTGTCAATATACGTGCAGGTTTTCACGAGGTAACAGTGCTCCGTTTTTCTTGGACACTAAATACAAGATAGAGGTGTCAGAAGAACACATTAGGCATACAATGCTATATGAATTTAAGAAAGGGAATAACGCGACTGCAGCCACGAAAAACATTCGAGATGTTTATGGTGAGGAACCTATGAACACGAGGAAATGCCAAAGGTGGTTCCAGAAATTCAAGTTTGGTGAATACAGCTTAACTGATAAAGCACGTTCAGGCCGACCTATTGAGTTTGATGATGAACTGCTGCTGGCTATACTTGATGAAGGTCCTGCTGTAACTGTTGAAGAACTTGCTCAGAAGCTCAATTCCACTCATTCCACCGTTCGCCGCCACTTGCGACGGCTAGGGAGTGTCAAAACTTGGAAAGTGGGTTCCATATGTGTTGCCTCCAGACAATCTTAGGGATCGGGTAAACATCTGTTCTTCTCTACACTCTCGTGCACTTCAAGCCCCGTTTCTGAATCAACTCATTACTGGGGATGAAAAATTGGGTGCTTTATCACAATGTTAAGCGTCGTCGACAGTGGGCTAGTGTCGGGGGTCCTGCTGTACCACAGGCAAGTAGAGGTCTTCACCCCAGGAAGGTTTTGCTGTGCGTTTGGTGGGATATTCTTGGCGTTGTTTATTTTGAACTGTTGCAGCCCAATGAAACCATACTGGTGGTGTACTGCCGGCAGCTCCAAAGTTTGAGCGCTGCATTTCAGGAAAAACGTCCTTCATTAGCCATTCGCAAGGGTGTCTTGTTTCATCAGGACAACGCGCGTCCTCATACTGCTCGGATCACGTGTGCCAAAATCGAAGAGCTGGGTTGGGAAAAAATTCCACATCCGCCGTATTCACCAGACATTGCACCCTCCGATTACCACCTATTCAGAAGTCCACAAAACTATCTCAACGGAAAAGAATTTGAAAGTTTGGAGGCAATCAACAGTGACCTGTCCGCATTTTTAGTTTCAAAGCCAAAGGAATTTTATAAACATGGAATTGAAATGCTTGTAGAAAGGTGGCAGGGAGTCATAGAGAACGAAGGGGAATATATACTTGATTGAAACTTGATGCGATGCAGGAGTATTTTAATTTTGAAAAACAGGGAAAAAACGACATTACTTATGGGATGACCTGATATTCCGGAAGAAGGTTGGGAATGAAATGTTCTACTTCTGACAAGATTTCACATTTTCTGAAAATAAACGTAGGAGGTATATTTGAGTTCATAATGAGAGAAAACCTGCAGAAATGCGGAGATAGACAGATAAAAATAGAAAGCAGCAAAAGAGACCATTTTTTAAAACGCACAGCCCATAAGGAATTGTTTTTGCGCTTTATCAGCTGATGAGAGAGCTCAGTCGTTGTGGTGGAAGAAGATTATTGAAGAGTCGGGCGTGAATGTGGAAGATTATGCCCTGAGTGGGAAGATGGTGCTCCTCGCAAACATCCTTCATTACTGTGAAATTATCAAGGACAAAGTGTGAGTCCCGTTCCCATAGAGAATACTGTATACAGGGTGGCCCAAAAATGTCACTATTTTCAACGCTCATTTTGGGTGTGATGCAATCGTGAACATTTATTCTGTTTACATGTAATGGAAAGAAGGAAGAGTTAGCTATAAAATGATTCTTTCAAACTTGAAATATCTTAAATGATGACCTTGAAAATATATTTTGAATTTCGGTTACGAAAAATCGGTGTTGGGCTCACCAACTCGATCCAGCATCTATTTGACGTCCCTGCACTCAAGAGAAGAGGAAGGTAACACGCTGAAATTAGCAGACGTTGCGAGGCTGATTGGATTTGCATGCCTCCGTTTGCGGTCGGTGAGCGCAACGCCGATTTTTAGTAACCGATATTCAAAAATTTTTTTCTAGGTCATCCTTTAAGATTATTCAAATCTGAAAAAAGCATTTTATAGCTAACTCTTCCTTCTTTCCACTATATGTAACCAGAAAAAATATCCTTGAAAGCATCACATCAAAAATGGATGATATATAGATAGGATTTATAGATGAATCCTATAGATAGTATGATGATAGGGGAATAACATCAAATTTATCAATGTACTCTATATGCCAACCGAGATTTCACATTTGGCTGTTGACTGGTAATAAATTCATCCCTTCAATTGGGTACGTATTGGATGTAATGTTCATCGGTGACAAACTTCTTTGTGTTGAGAGCTGAGAAACTACTTTTTTGTTAATTGCTAAGTAACATTAGTCTTAATGAAAAAGTTGCTTAAACTGATCAGTATGTACATGATTCTTTGCCAATATATTAGTTTTGAGAAGGTTTATAGGGAGACAATTCATGACTAATTCTCAGACTGGCTACTGTTGTTGACAGCTTGGTGTTCACGCAGAGCCGCCTTTGCCTTGACTTAGTGGAGCAGTTCCTTAAGTTTCTTGCCTCAAACCGGGACCAAATCTTTATGACGCTGGATCCCGAGACAGTCCTCGAAGAAACTGCCGAAACCCCTGGTGCCAATGACGCAGGTTCAAAACGAGGAGAGCAAAGGAGCCAGGAGTACGATCCGCGCAAGGGGTCCTGGGTACAAGGTAGGGACTACTTTCGCATCGACGGCAGTACAGACGTATGTACCAGGAAGGACATCACCACTCTCATCAACGACCCGGAGAACCATCGGTATTTATAAATGCACTCTAAGTAACTGGTCCATGGAGGACTTTTGAAAAGAGTATATTCATGATTCACTACATCCACAGGGCGCGATTGTTGCTGATATCGACAAAAGCTGGTGGAATGGGTATCAACTTGGTGGGTGCGAATCGGGTGGTTATCCTGGATACCTCGTGGAATCCTTCCAATGATGTCCAGGCACTCTCTCGCGTCTATCGGATGGGGCAGCTAAAACAAGTCTACGTATACCGCTTCTTTGCCAAGGTTACATTTTCCCTCGCGTGTTCGTTTGGGAAAGGAGTGCTAAGTGTAGAATTCAGAAATCGCTTAACTCTTGCCAACGACAGAGATGTTATTGAAATGGAATTGAAGAGGGGACAAGATGTACGTTAATAACAGAATGAAAAATTATTTTTTCCGCCTTAATCCTGGAAACTTCCTGATGCATATCTCTACACGTTGACCGCCACATGACACGCCGGTGTCACCTTCGCCATAGGGAAGAACAGTGGTTCCAAACCCCTTTGGCGGTGAATTTGTTAAATATAGTAGAATAGCAAGAATGCGATAGGGGCCTGAATGGGGTCTGGATACGGGTCGGTGAAAATGATGAGGGATGGTAGCAGGTGACGAACAATCCCTGGCACTGAAGACAGGAGGTGAAGGATCTATCGACTTTTCCTCCCAACAGTGCAGGATTACTCATTCCATGTCATCGATTCATTCGTCGCTCGTTCAACGTATGATCATATAACGCATCAACCGTGTATACTTTTTGATTTATTTGGAACTCGGTTCATATTTGGTGGGGTCTCTAAGAATTGGCGTCCACATCGAAGAAAAAATGTACCACTTCTTGAGGAAGACAGATAGGCTTTCAAATTCCTTTTTCTAGAATTTTGTGAGTTTCTGAAATCGGGATGACAACCTTGGAGCTTGAAGTTTAAGAATATAACTTCGAGACGTTCGTTCTAATATTAAATATTCAAGATAGTTTGTGATATCAAGAGTCGATTTCACTCATTTCGGTATCACCTGTCGAGGTCGAGCGTTCCTTAATTTTAGGGTAGACCTAACCCTCCTTAAGCTAAATAGTCTTTTTATTTTTTATTTTTTATTTTGCATATCCTAGTTCCTTACTGTCTAGTACTTAGCGTCAACATTGCCCCCTACCCTTTTGCCTGTCCATGAAAGCATCCAGTTTCTTCTTAAAGACAGTCACAGAAGTGGCAGCCACTACTTCGTCATCTATCGTATTCCACGCCTTCACCAATCTGCAAGTAAAAAATTCCTGTCTCGACTTGAGCCGCACCTGCAATTTGCGCAACATAAGTTTATAACCTCTCGTTCTCTTGCTTCCATTAAAACCGGAAAAACCTACCACACTCGACATTATATATTCTTTTATTTATCTTGAAAGCCTGGATAAGATCGCCCTTCTTTAACCTTCGCTCGAGCGAGTACAGTCCCAACACTTCTAAACGCTTCTCATATGAGAGTCCCCTGACCTCGTTGATCATTCTTGTGGCCATGCTCTGTACACCCTCGATTGCCAACAAATCGCCCTTGTTTGTAGGCCTCCAAATTGGATGCAATATTTCAACTGGGGACTAATCAGTGCCGCATACAACGGACGAATAACACGCAAAGTCCTACTTGCAACCGAACGACGAATGTAACCTAGAATCCTGTTACATTTGGCCACAGTTGCTTGCGCGTGCGAGGAAAACTTGAGTTCCTCGTCGATAAAAACTCCTAAATCTCTCTCTCCGTCGCCTCAACCAATTTAACATCGCCGAACGTGTCGAGAGAACTACCGTTGTTTCGACCGACGTGGAGAACTTTACACTTACTTTAATTAAACCTCATAAGCCATTTCTTGCTCCACTCGTCCAAATGACTTAAATCTCGCTCGGCTCGAGCCCGATCCGCCTCCCCCCCTTATNATCTCGCTCGGCTCGAGCCCGATCCGCCTCCCCCCTTATGGTAAAACCTATCTTGGTGTCGTCGGCAAATTTACTCATCTTACCCTTTACGCCAAGATCCAAATCGTTTATGTAGACCAAAAACAGTGCCTTGAGGGACACCGCTTGTGACTCCGACCTCCCTCGACGCTTCCCCATTTATCATCACCCGTTGCTCTCGTCCTGCCAACGAACTTCTAATCCACTCGCTCGTCCTACCCTGGATCCCGTGCGCCTCCTGTTTAACCCGCAACCTCTTGCGGGGAACGGTATCGAAAGCTTCCGCAAAATCTAAATACACGATGTCCACGGGATTCCCCTCATCCCTCTCTTCCATCGCCCTGACGTAGAATTCGAGCAAATCGGTGAGACATTTCAACGCCTCCTAAAACCGTGTTGAGAGTCCCGAATCAGAGCGTTTCCTTCGAGGAAATCCAAGAGATGGTCCCTTAGTGTGCTCTCCATAATCTTTCCTGTGATACTCGTGAGATTTACCGGCCTGTAATTCCCTGGATTACTCTTTTCGCCCTTCTTAAAGATCGGTTCGACGTTTGCTTGTCTCCAGATCCTCGTCTCCTCGATGATAGAAATATCCTCGATCCGCGAATAGGTCACCTCCTCCAAAGTCGATGCCGAGTCGGATTCGACAGTGAAAACGGAAGCGAAGAACTAATTAAGTATACTGTTCATATCCTTATTACTCACACATACGTCGATGCCCGAAACGCATTCGCGTAGTCACTAAAAATTAGCCTTCTTATAGTGGTACGAAACCTTCCTCAGTGTGGGGTTATTCTTCGTCCGTTTCATATTACCACGTGATTGTGCGGTGTTCCGAATTTCCCAAGTTATCCTGTACCTTAACGTCTCGTGCCAGATCGTCATTCGTTGCAAAATCGAAATCCAATAAAGCTTCCTCGCGAGTCAGTTCATTTACGTACCAAACGAGAAGAGCGCCAACTGCAACGAGAAATTCCCTATCCCTTTCGCACCCACCCCGCGGCACCGACCAGTCCATGTTGGGCATGTTAAAGTCTCTGAAGAGCAATACCTGCTTCGAGATCTCGCCCATTCTGCGCATGAGTGCAAAATAAGCTGCTTCATCCTCGAGAGAAGAGTTTTGGAGGCCTATAGCAAATCCCTAGCACGATCTTCGCAGTTGCCCCACCGATCTCGCACCATAAGTGTT